TTTATGAGACAAAGTCTTGCTCTGTCGCCCAGGCTGGAGTGCAGTGGCGCGATCTCGGCTCACTGCAACCTCCGCCTCCCAGGTTCAAACAATTCTCCTGCCTTAGCCTCCCAAGTAGCTGGGACTACAGGCGCCGCTAATTTTTGTATTTTTGGTAGAGATCGGGTTTCACCATGTTGTCCAGGCTGGTCTTGAACTCCTGACCTCAAGTGATCCACCCGCCTCAGCCTCCCAAAGTGCTGGGGTTACAGGCATGAGCTACCGCGCCTGGCTTAGTTGTATTTTTGAGTGAACACCACTCTCCATTGGCAGGGCAAGGTCTCCTTGGTATGTGGCCTCACTTAAGGAGTAGAGTTTCCCCAGGGCCTCTCCCAGGACCGTTCAAATGACGGAGCACAACCTTTCAAGTGACTTCCCTTCTCTAAGACTCTAAGACTCAGTTTCCTTATCTGTCCAATGGTGGAATTGCAGTAAATATTTGCTAAGTTTCCATCCAGCTCTAATGTACTAAAAATCTATGAAAATCTGGATTTTCCCATTTCGAGACAAGCCCTGGTCCTACTCAACCTTAATCTACAGCCACCAGAAGAAAACCCCGCAGAGCCAATCCTGACACCAGCACCGTGGCTCTTCAGTTCACAAGCACCATTCTCACTGGAGCCCCACCAGACCTCGATGACGTGGACAGCGCCAGTTACGTGGACAGGCTGAGGCGGGTGGATCACCTGAGGTCAGGAATCCGAGACCAGCCTGGCCAACGTGGTGAAACCCTGTCTCTGGAGATGAGAAACACTTTGCCAAATGCCAAATAGCAGCACTAATAACGTAGCCGCCCTGAGGCCTGAGCCTGGCCTCCTGACTCCGAGCCTGGTGCCCCACTTAGCAGCCTCACCTCTCCCCATGGGTGTCTACCTGGCTGGAGACAACACTGGCCAAAGGCAGAACCTCAACCTGCAGCCGTCAGTGGGCATTCAAGCGGACCTGCTAGGCTGGACAGAGAGAACAGGAAAGGCAGGAACGCCTGTTTCTTCCTCCATTTTGGCTGACGCAGGCTCCTTAGCACCCGGCCATGTGACCACCCTCAGATGAAGCTCTGTTCTCTCCATCCCTTTCCTCCTCCTCAGTCTCAGGGATCAGATGGGTGCAGGGCCCTGTTCTGGGGATACTGAGAGCTGTGCATTCAGGTCAGACATGCACAGTTTAAAATTCACATAGAAGGCCAAGGGCAGTGGCTCACACCTGTAATCTCAGCACTTTGGGAGGCCAAGGCAGGCAGATCACCAGAGGTCAGGAGTTCAAGATCAGCCTGGCCAACATGGTGAAACCCCGTTTCTACTAAAAATACAAAAATTAGCTGGGCGTGGTAGCACATGCCTGAAATCCCAGCTATTCGTGAGGCTGAGGAGGGAGAGTTGCTTGAATCTGGGAGGTAGACGGAGGTTGCAGTGAGCCGAGATTGTGCCACTGCACTCCAGCCTGGGCAACAAGAGTAAAACTCTGTCTCAAAACAAACAAACAAACAATAAATAAAATTCACAGAGGAGTGTAGTATCCCTTTCCCACACTCTCACCCCACACAGAAAGGGACAAAGGAATCGTCATGGTGTAAACCATAGGTTGGGCTTCAACTGGGGGCCTCCTCCAGCCCCTCGGCCATGACAAAGTGGCAGAACAGGGAAAAGGGAGCATTCTGTCCACGGCCCCCATGAGCCTGCGGTCTACTGAAGGTGACAGGAGATGTTTGGGGAGGGGGAAGAGAGGGAGGTATCTGTGTCTTGTCAGAGTTAGAAATTGCCCAGAACATTAGCAGGCCCCACCCAGCCTTCACCTACAGGCCCTCCTGCTTCTGCTATGGCTCAAACCTGAAAAGACAACAGCCTTCTTAAAACATTTACATTCCTGCCAGGCAAAGATTCATGTGATTCTGAGTCCGGAAGTACACAGGTTTTCATGGGAAGATTAAAAGACAATTCCGATATTTCATGATAAATTAGTCAGACTTGCCAAACATCATTTAAAGAAAAAAAACAAAGAAGAAAAAGAATCCTTACTTTGCTTGCTTGTATTTTCTTTTCTTTCTGGAATCCTGCATGTATCAGTTTTATAACTTCATTGACAACTTTCAATTGGAATTTAATTAAAAGAAAATAGAGGCCGGGCACGGTGGCTCATGCCTGTAATCCCAGCACTTTGGGAGGCTGAGGCGGGTGGATCACTTGAGGTCAGGACCAGACTTTGGGAGGCTGAGGCGGGTGGATTACTTGAGGCCAGAATTTGAGACTAGCCTGTGCCACAGAGAAACCTCTGCCTCTACTAAAAATACAAAAATTACTCAGGCATGGTGGTGCACTTGGGCCACTAGCTACTCGGGAGGCTGAGGCCAGAGAAACCACTTGAACCCAGGGAGGTGAAGGTTGCAAAAGAAGAGGAAGAAGTAGTAGAAGAAGAAGACACTGAGTCTGCTAAATGCAAATAAGAAAGAGGAGGAGAGGAGAGGAGAGGAGGGGGAGGGGAGGGGAGGGGGAAGGGGGAGGGGAGGGGAGGGGAGGGGAGGGGAAGGGAAGGGAAGGGAAGGGAAGGGGAAGGGAAAGGAAAGGAAAGGAAAGGAAAGGAAAGGAAAAGAAGAGAGGAAGAGAGGAAGAGAGGAAGAAAAGGAAGGGAGGGAGGGAGGAAGGAAAGAAATGTATTTCTTATAGTTATGGAGGCTGAGAAGTCCAAAGTCAAGGCTGTACATCTAATGAGAACCTTCTTGCTGGTGGTGACTCTGCAGAGTCCCAGGGTGGTGCACGGCATCACATGGACTGAGTATGCTAGTGTACTCAGGTCTCTCTTCCTCTTCTTATAAAGCCGCCAGTTCCACTCCCATGATCATCCATTAATCCAGTAATCCACCAGTGAATGAATCCATTCATGAGGACAGAGATATCATGGCCCAATCACCTCTTCAAGGCCCCCCTCTCCATACTGCCACTTCAAGGATTAAATTTCAACATGAAAGAGGAAACACATTCAAATCATAGCAGGGAGGTATCTCTAAATAAATCAAAGAGGACTCAAAACACAGGGATGAGGAGCTTTGAAAGCCATAGTCTTATTCCACTAATGGTGCTATCATCCTGACAGTTTTGAGATTGCCCATGGGGACAGTTGATTGACTATCCTTGGTGATTAAATAATAACTACTTATTATTTTATGGTGGATATGATTTGTGGAGGCAACCAAGAGAAAACAGTAGAGTATAAAGGTGAAGAACTTGGATTCTTTTGGAGCAGTGGTTGGTGTCACTGGAATAAAGTCTCCCAAGGGACTGCTCTAGTCTACACATGGCAATATCACTGCTATGGCTTGAATATTTGTCCCCTCCAAAATTCATGTGGAAATTTAACTACCATTGTAACAGTATTAAGAGGTAGGCTCTTTAAGAAGGGATTAGGCTGTGAAGGCTCTATTCCCACAGGTAGGATTAATGCCATTATAAAGGATAAGTCTATCCCCCTTTTCTCTCTTTGCCCTTCTGCCTTGGGCCATGTGAGGACAAGGCGTTGCTCCCCTCTGGAGGATGCAGTGTTCAAGGCACCATCCCCAAATCCGCCACTCCTTGACATTGGACTTCCCAGCCTTCAGAACTGTGAGCAAATAAATTTCTGTTTTTTATGAATTACCAGTCTGTGATATTCTAACAGCAAAAAATCAACTGAGATAATCACTTCCTCTCATGTTCCTTTGGTGAAAACCAGCCCATGGTTCCACTAGATAGAGGGACTAGCCATGTACCAGAAAAGAAGATGAAAGCAGTATTGAGAAGCACAACCCAAGGAATGGATCACTCCGGTCCTGCCCAGGCCTCATCCTCCCAATGCAATCAACAGCAGGCAAGCATGGTGACCCTTCTAAAACCAATATGTCTACATTGGTAACCTATCAAATCAGTGAGAAAACAGGTCTGCGGTATCCCAGATGTCTCAAATGTGCATGCTTGGATTTAGATATTTATCCAAACACCAAACCCCCAAACACCAAACCCTCTGTTGAGTCTGCCCAGAATTCCACTCAGGACACTCAAAAATTCTGCTCATGTCGTCCTAGGCCACTGCCCCCTTATCCACCCCAGCTTGTCCCATGGTCCTGCTTTGGTAATTGCCATAATGCAATCTGCCTTTCTTACAGGTGTGTGCAACCTATATTATGTATCTGTGATGCAAATCATGCAAAGAACCAGGTGGCTACTTTCCATTTTATCTCATGCTCTCAGCTGGTATTAAACAGACCTATCTGATTTTCCTTGTCTGTATACTTTCAGTTCTGTTTTTGGTGCTTACCTATTATTACTTTTATATTTCATGGTTCATGTTACCACTCATCAATTTGTCTCCTATCTTATGTCTATAAAGTATCTCCAGATATGTAATAAGGAAGCAATACACGAGTGGCCTCCAGGGAATGGAACTCGGTGGATATAGGACTGTCTAGAAGGGAGATTTTAGGACATTTTAAATGTTGAACCACATGAGTAAATACTTAATCAAAAATACTTTTTTTTGTTTTTTTTTTTTTTTTTTTTTGGAGATGGAGTCTCACTCTGTTGCCCAGGCTGGAGTGCAGTGGTGCGATCTCAGCTCACTGCAACCTCTGCCTCCTGGGTTCAAGTGATTCTCCTGCCTCAGCCTTCCAAGTAGCTGGGATTACAGGCACCTGCCACTACGCTTGGCTAATTTTTGTATTTTTAGCAGAGACGGGGTTTTACCACATTGGCCAGGCTGGTTTCAAACTCCTGATCTCAGGTAAACTGCCTGCCTCAGTTTCCCAAAGTGCTGGGATTACAAGCATGAGCCACTGTGCCTAACCTCAAATATACATTAATTGAAATAAAATAAATTAATAAAATAAAAATAAATTAACTGAAACAATTAATAATTAAATTAATGATGTTCTTTGTTGTGATGAGGCTAGCAAGGAGATCTTACTGGTAAGGAGTAGAATGGAAAAGAGGAACCATCTGTGTCCTGAAATAGAATCCCAGAGGAAAAGAGAGCTGCTTAAAGAACATATTTAAAAACATTTTTGATATGATATGGAATGTGACCACCTTCCTCCCACCTCCACCAAGAAATATTCAGGAGAAGCTACAAAACCCATCAATGCTTTGGGAGTCAAGGATGTGGAGAAATTGGAAACTTCATGCACTGTGGGTGGAAATGGAAGATGGCGCAGCTGCTATGAAAAACAGCATGAAGCTTCCTTAAAAAAATTAAATATAGAATTCTCATTATCCTAAAATTTCACTTCTGGGTATATACCCAAAAGAACTGAAAGCAGGGTCTCAAAGAGGTATTTGTGCACCCGTGTGTACCATGGCAGCATTATTCACAACAGTCAAAACGTAGAAGCAACTCAAGTGTCTATTGTCAGAGGAATGAATAAACAAGATGTGGCCTATCCGTACAATGGAATATTATTCAACCTTGAAAAGGAAGGAAATTTCCACACATGCTACAATGTGAATGAACCTTGAGGACATTATGCTGAGTGAAATAAGTCAGTCACAAAAGAACAAATGCTGTATGATCCCACTTACATGAGGCATCGAGAATAGTCAAATGCATAGAAACAGAAAGTAGAAGAGTGGTTGAGGGGGCGGCTGGTGTGAGGGTGGGGAAAGAATGGGGAGTTAGTGTTTCCTGGGTATAGGGTTTCAGTTTTGCAAGATGAAAAGAGTTTTGGGGATGGATGGGTGGTGATGGTTGCAGAACGACATGAATGCACTTAACCCTACCGAGCTGCACACTTAGAAATGGTTGCAGTGGTAAATTTTATGTTATGTGTGTTGACTACAGTTTAATTTTTTAATTTAAAAAATACTTTATATGTTGTGTGGTGTGTGTGTGTGTGTGTGTGTGTGTGAGAGAGAGAGAGAGAGAGAGAGATGTCAGGTTGTTTGGGGGTGGGAGCAATGGTGGGTGATAATGTACTAAGCATAGATGCAAAGCAAGGGCAAGATGACCTGTAACATCTGTGTGACAACTCTAGGGCAATCCTTTGGCAAATAATGAGCAGTGCTCAGGTGGTTTCTTTGGCTCCAAAAGTATCCTGAACCTCCTCCAGCTGTGCTCCCAACTCCTGGCACCCAGCATGGTGTCACAGGCTTCTTCGTTGATAGAAAAAATCTCCTGCCTTGGAGGATATATAGTGTGGCTTCTGACATCTTCCTTGTTTGTCTTGGAGTGAGATTTCCCTTCCTTCCCTTCCCACATCTGCTCAGTCATTTAGCCAGTAACTTTTGGTCTGTGCACACCATGGGCCAGGCTCTGTACTAGACACAGGGGATTGAGAGGTGAACACGGCAGTCGCTGCCTGCAGGAGGCTCCCGGTCCAGCAGAAAAGACAGACAAGTAGACAAGCACCTGCCACAAAGCAGGAGGCACATGATGATGGGTGGCACCAGGAGCTATGGGGACATGGGGCACTGCAATGCCCCATGTCCAGAGTCATCTGGAGGGCATGGAGGGTGTCCCCAGAAGGGGGACACTCACAGTCCAGCTGAGATCTGAGCTCCTATGGAAAATTTGGAGTTATTCCTGAAAAACAAAAAAGAAGCCAAACCTTAGAGGGGATTAGGGAATAAGAATAGAGAGGTGCAGCTACTCATAGAACAGCACTGTGGGGTCTAGAAGAGACCCAAGAGAGGACACGGTGTCTTTAAGGAACAAAGAGAAAATAGTAGCACTAAAGCATGGAGCACCAGGGGAGCTGTGCTGAGGCAGGCAGGCAGGCCTCAGGCACTAAGGGTCTTAGCACCTGTTTAGGAGCAGCTGGTCACCATGCCGGGGGCAGTGGGAAAGGTTTGAAAGTACTCAAACAAAAGAGCACCCTGATCCCATTTGCAATTCTAAATGAACAATGGAACTGCACCTTCAGTTGGAGGAGTGTGAGGCTGGTGTGGATATTGGGGGATCTGTGTATTAGTTCCTGTGGCTGCTGTCACAAATTACTACAAACTCGGTAGCTTAAAACAACAGAAATGTATTACTTCACAGTACAGGAGGACAGAAGTTGGAAATTTGTTTCACTGGGTTCAAATCAAGCTGTTGGCAGGGCCAAGCTCCCTCCAGAGGCTCTAGCAGAGCTCTCTGTGACTTCTGGTAGCTGCAGGCATTCATTGGCTTGTGGCTGCATCCCTCCAATCTCCACCTGCATCTTCATTATCACCTTTACTGTGTGTCTCATCTCCTGCTGGCTCTTCCTTGTAAGGACACTTGTGATGGTATTTAGGACCCACCTGAATAATCCAGGATAATCTTCTCATCTCAAAATCTTCATTTAAACTCTTGTACACTGTTGGTGGGAATGTGAGAAGGTACAGTCACTATGTAAAACAGGATGATAGTTTCCAAAAAATTTAAACATAGAATTACCATATGGTCCAGCAATTCCTCTCCTGGGTATAGTCCCCAAAGAACTGAAAGCAGAGTCTAAAGAGATATGTGTACACCCATGTTCACAGCAGCATTATTTACAATAGCTACAAGGTGAAAGTAATGCAATGTCCATCAACGGCTGAATAAACAAATGTGGTATATACACACAATGGCATATGATTCAGCCTTTAAAAGGAAGGAAATTCTCTCATATGCTACAGAAATAAGCCAGTCACAAAAGGGCAAGGACTGTATGAGTCCACCTTTTTATTTCATTTTATTTTTGAGATAGTCTCGTTCTGTCACCCAGGCTGGAGTGCAGTGGTGTGATCCTAGCTCATTGCAGCCTCTGACTCCTGGACTCAAGTGATTCTCCCACATCAGCCTCCTCAGTAACTGAGACCACAAGTGTGCACCACCACACCTGGTATATTAGTCCGTTTTCACACTGCTGATAAAGACATACCTGAGACTGGGCAATTTACAAAAGAAAGAGGTTTAATGGACTCTCAGTTCCACAAGGCTGGAGAGGCTTCACAATCATGGCAGAAGGCAAGAAGGAGCAAGTCACATCTTACGTGGATGGAGGCAGGCAAAAAGAGAGCTCGTGCAGGGAAACTCCCATTTTTAAAACCATCAGATCTCATGAGACTTTTCCACTATTGCAAGAACAGCACGGGAAAGACCTGCCTCCATGATTCAATTACCTCCCACCGAGTTCCTCCCATGACATTTAAGAGTTGTGGGAGTTACAATTCAAGATGAGATTAGGGTGGGGACACAGCCAAACCTTATCACCTGGCTAATTTTTAAATCTTTGGTAGAGACAAAGTCTGACTAGTTGCCCAGGCTGGTCTCGAACTCCAGGGCTCAAATGATCCTCCCGCCTCAGCCTCCCAAAGTACTGAGATTGCAGGCGTGAGCCACTGTGCATGGCCTCATTCCACCTAATAGGAGACGTCTAGTGTAGTCAAATGCATAGAGACAGAAAGTGGAAGAGTCATTGCCAGGGGCTGAGGAGAAAGAGAAATGGAAGTAGTTGTTTAATGGGTACAAAGTTTTAGTTCTGCAAGACAAAAATGGTCACACAACATAGGCATATACTTAACGCCCCTGAACTCTGCACTTAGATGATTAAACTGTTCAAGTCTATGTTGTATATTTTACCACAATTTTAGAATTTTTAAAAATTTCTTAACTTAATCACATTGGCAAAAACTTTCCCACGTAAGGTAACATTCACTGTTTTCCGGGGATTGGCACTTGATATCTTTGGGGCCACTATTCAGACTGCTACAGTCACTTAGGAGACTACTGCAGTGGTCCAGAGAAGAAGTGATGGAGGCATGAACTAGACCACAGGCAGTGGGGATTCTAGAGCTGCCAGGGAGGCACTGCTGGCGGCAGCTGGGAACCGGACGGGAGGAGTAATGCCTGGCACCCTGGTTTCTGGCTGGGGCAACTCACAGAAACTCTCAGGAATGCTGAGAGAAGAGCAGATTGGGGGTGGGATCAAAGAGGGGACTGGTGTTGGGGAAGAGGTTGAGATGAGTTTTAGACACATTTGCAGGTGTCAACCAAAAGTTGGGCCACTGAGCAGACACCCGCCTACATCTTGAGGCCCCACACGAGGGTCTTGTCCCAAATGGGTGAGCCATGACAGAGTGGGGATGCTATGGAGGGAGGAGGTAGCCACAGGCAGGGCTTGGGGGTAGTCTGGAAAACAGAGAATGAGAGGAGTCAGAGCAAAGAGGCGAGGTCTGTGGAGGTGCTGCAGAAAAGCATTGGGCACTGACTCAACAGAGAGCCAGGAGCTCAGGAAGGCTCAGGTGGCTGGACCATGGCATGGAGCAGATGCAGAATAATAATGGCCTTCCATGAAGGCGAGGCCATCTCTAGCAAAATGTCCACCCTCCATGCCAACCCTCCCTCCCAAACATCCCTTCTGATTTCCCATGCTATGAGGGCCTGGGCACCAGAGCCCTTGGAGAGAAGATCCATCGGAGGAGGGAAGGTGGGAGGACCCACATGGCTCAGGTTAAACTTACACCTGGCCTTGCATGGAGAAGTCTCGGTGAACTTCTGAACAACAAATCAAGTTACAGATGGCTGAAACAAAGGGTAGTTTCCCAGGAGCTGCTGAGAACATCAGTTGGGGGCCTGTAGACTCATCCAAGTCAGACTCAACTGTATCTTTTTTTTTTTTCCCAATTTTTTAAAATTGTAGTAAAATATACATAACAGAAAATGTACTATCTTAACCTTTTTTTTCTTTTTTTGAGACAGCATCTCACTCTGTCACCCAGGCTGGAGGTCAGTGGTGTGATCTCAGCTCACGGCAACCTCCATGTCTGGGGTTCAAGTGATTCTGCTGCCTCAGCCTCCCGAGTAGCTGGGATTACAGCCATGTGCCACCATGCCTGGCTAATTTTTGTATTTTTAGTGGAGACGGGGTTTCACCATGTTGGCCAGACTGGTCTCATAACTCCTGACCTCGAGTGATCAGCCTGCCTCCGCCACCCAAAGTGCTGGGATTACACGTGTGAGCCACCATGCCCGGCTTCCATCTTAACCATTTTTAAGCACGTTGTTCAGTGGTGTGACATACATTACCACTGCTGTACAGCCATCACGACTAACCATCTCCAGGCACTTTCAACTTGTAAAACTGAAAGTCTGCACCCATTCAACAATAACCCCCCACGTCCCATCCCCTCAACTCTTATCTTTTTAAAGTGCTTTTCCCAGTGAAGTTTCTAACATTGCTAAAGAGCATAAAATACAAAGATCCGGCCACGCAGCAGGGGCTTTTTACCCTGCAGAATGCCCACAAAACTGTTTTGTATGTTTAATTTTTTTAACCAAGGAAATAGGGGATGCCCAAGATTTGGTCCCCAAACCAGAAAGACTGTGGGTTCTTTGCATCAAGCCGGGGGTTTTAGGTTTTAGTGCACTCCCCATGGGCACTCTGTCAGCCCGCTCCTCGGGTGTTCCCCCGCCCCTGCCTTTTCCTCTCTCATCTCCTCCCTCCACCCCTCTCAGCCTTGCAGTTGCCCTGCCTCTCCTCTGGCTGCTCCATTTGTAGGGAGGGTCTGCTTGAGGGGAGTTCCCATTCTCTCTCACCCAGAGTCAAGACTCTTGACTCTATTGCACCTAAAAAGTTCCTGAGGAATTTGACAATGCCCCACCCTCAGAGACAAAGGGTGAAGCCCAGGAATCTGTATTTTTAACAAACATCCCAGGGGATCCCGATACTTCAAGGACAGAGACACATGCACACACCCCCACACACACCCACACTGACTACCTGCACACTCCCACAGCTCAGAAGGCTGCAGGACCCACAGTAGGTATTCGGGACTATTTGTTCAATCCACACCTGAGTCGTTGCACAATTAAGTCCCTCGGAACACCTCGCCTGCCATCTGACAGCTTCCCATCCAGAAACCACACAGTACAGTAAAAAACAGAAAAAAGAAAGCCGTTAGACCCCAGTGAATGTTATTTTTAATGAAAGTGGTGCGTTTTGACTCACAATGTTGAAACCAGATTATAAATGAGTCATCAGTGAATCGACCACAAAGAGCCTTTGCGGAGGTGATTTACAGGAGAGCTCTGATGTCTGCTGTCCCCTGCACATGCTTCACAGAGATGCTGTCAGATGCAGAGCTGGTCTGGGGCATCTGTTGCCGCGTCAGCTCAAAAGGACGCTGTGTTGTCACCAACGGGATTCCCCAGCCCAGGCGGTGTTGCGGTCCCACCCACACAAGGAAGGCAGCCATCACTGAACAATGCTTGTGGTTACATCATCATTGCTGGTTTCCAGGTAGTGACTAGCAGATACTGGAGACAGACAGGCCATCTGCTCTTCCTGTGCACCCCAGCTCCTCCCTCATGCCCACATCCTCTTGCCTGGTCTTCTAGAAGCAGCCCCTATGCAGACAGACCAGCAGGACTGAAAGCTGGACAGACTCGAGCCAGAGAGCCAGGTGGAACAACCTGGCCAGAAAAAGTCTGGCCACAAAGAGTCTGGCCACAGCCCCGCTTTCCTCATCTCTGAAATGTCCACATGGCTGCCTGCCCTGCCCAGCTCAAGGGAATGTTGCAAGACTCTCATGGAAACCATGCTTGTGAGTGTTTTGAGGACTATCATAACCCATCCCAAGGTCAGAGGACAGTAGAAAACAAAAATCTTGCTTTCAGAGGGTGCTTTCACCAGTCGGCAGCCTCTCCCCCCGGGCAAAGCCAGACAACTAAAACAGAATGAACCAGCAGAGTGGGGTGGGGGTGAAATGCTCCACTTCCAACCCAGAAAGGAGAAGCCAATGTTCATGTTTCCCCTTAGAGAAACAGGCAATGTTTGAACAGGAACACCACCACCAGAGGGTCAGTCCACACACAGAACACCCCATCTCCATGCCGATGGAGGACTGACTGTCCTGCTGCTGAACTGCACCCTTGCGGCTCTCCCGGACACTCCACTGGTGGCCACACTCAGGAAAATGAAGAAAAGCCTTCAAAAGGACCCTTCTGGCCATTTAGGGAATGCAGTGGCCTGCTAGCTCCTGCTTGCCTGTTCAGAGCTGCCTCCACTGGGGCAAGAATTTGCAGCCAAGAAAATCCCTGACAACCCCAGGGACAGAAGGGTCAGTCTGGTGGGATGGGAGACCGTCGACCAACCCAGCAACCCAGATTAGCCTGCTCCACCAGGAACTCTGTGTCCAGAGAGCAGGATCTGCCACGAGCAAAACTAGGCCTCATGTACTATTCCACAATAGCAACTAGAAAGCATGTGACCCAGAAAACCTTCAAAGAAGGCCAGAAATTCATTAAATCTGAAAAGGAGGGAAGAAGGGCGGGGGAGAGGAAAACACTGTTTAGCAAAGCCAACTCAATCCCTCTTTCATGCGTCACAGA